GCACCCATTAGAAGACTCATACTTGTTAAACCCTAAAAGCTTGAATTGACAAAGATCTTAAGTTTTGAAGATAACAAAGCACAAGCAAGCACAACCTGCAAGCACAATGAGGAGATCAGTGCTACAAGTCCCAAATGATGTAAGAAGACCATAGCAACCTCAAAATAAAAAAAAGAGGTCAAAGAGACAAAGTCAACTTTAAAGTCAAAGTTTCAAGTGATTTAATGATCCTAGAAGGTGAAAACTTGAAGCAGGAGAAATTAAAGCCAAGTCAAAATCTCAATAAGTTAGAAATGTTATATTAGGTATAGAAACCAAGGGGATGGAGTTTAGTAAGCTCTCTCACCAAGGAATCTATACTAACTTCAATAATATATGCATTTAAGGAACATAAATTGTCTAATTATGCATATATGATCACACACATGATAATATGCTATACAAAGGTTACATATATTCATTTATCTGTTAGAAGTCATTAGAAATTGTTTGTAGTTGAGTTGGATAAAAAGTTGCATAAATAAGCACTTATGTTATGTGTTACTCGAGTAACTCAGAAATAGTTATCTAAGTACATGACTTACTCCAGTAACCTATGTCACTTACTCGAGTAAATGCTCAAGAACAATTGTTCGAGTACATGTTGGATACTTACTTGAGTAACTTATAATAGAAAGCTAAAAACTAGGGATTTCGATTTCCAATGGCTATAAACAGATAGTATCTCCATTAGACTCCTATATAAACATGTATTAAAAGTTTCTAGGCACGAATTTCAAAGAGTTTACATCAGATTACATAGAATTCACATTGATAATCATTTAAAGGCTATTTTGCATACTTGATAAAGAAGGCTTCTCAAGTCTTCGTTATAAAAAAGGCTTCTCAATTCTTCGTTCTTCTTTGTTTTTATTAGATTGAGAAGTTGTTTTGATATGTTTTAGATAGGTTTGTTGTTGGAAGTGAAATTGAGTGATTGGAAAGATCCTATAGGTGTATAGGTTGAGAGAGTGACCAAGATTAGTCAAGATTCTTGTATATCTCCATTTTAACTTTATTTTTCAAACACTGGTTGGAAATTCTGAATTTAGTGGATATGCGACAACAGTCTGGACGTAGCCTTTGTGTGGTTTGAAGGTCAACCAAGGTAAATCATTGTGTTTAATCTTCTAACCCTTAAACTCCTTGATTTTCATTTTTGATTTTGTTATTGATGTGTTTTAGACTTGGATTCAATTTTCTTTAAGGGTATATAAGGTTTAGAATATGTTCTTGATTGAATTCCATTCACTCCTCATAATTTGGATTAAGTTTAATAGTACCTAATTGTCATACGAGAAATATATTGATTGCCTTGGAGCCCCAATTTTTCATGAACTCTCCTTTTGAAATTGTTATATCTTGTGCCACATTTTATTTGCATCATTTTTGTTTGACTTTCAAAAGTTAGACCATTGGACCTTGAATTTATTTACCATTGTGGTAGACAATCGCAACAAATATTTGGGAACTTGAACTCATATTTGCCTAGAATAGGGGTTTGGAGATGGGTTCAGATTTTTTCATAAAAATTCAAAAAAATAATGATAATAACAATGATTAGATTAGGGAAAAGATTTAGGGTGGTGGATGTGAGATTTAAAAATATTGGGTTGCAAAGAAGATGAAAAATGAGTAGTAGAAAGTGATAAAAATTGTAAGAAAAGAAGATGTGGGCGTCGCCCCTGTTAATAGCCTCTGACTGACATTTACTTAAGTAAATGAATGTCAAACATGGACAGATTGATATATAGTTTGAAAGTGGGGCACAAGTTTGTATATAATTTTGAAACGGGATAAAATGGTAATTTATTTATTTTTTTATGAACAAGGGCAAAATGATCAATTAGCCTATTTGTTAAGAGTTAATTCAACCAAAAGTTCCTTTACCAAAAAAAAAAAAAAAAAATTCAACCAAAAGTTTAAGCGCTTATGTGAATGCCACATTAATGATTTTCTATTGTATTTATCTAATATGCTCTCTCACATAAGAGCACATTGGACTTGAAAGGTGGACAATGCATAACCCTACTTACATGTGCTAAAAAATTCTATGATATTTAATATTTATTATTAAATGGGAGCGGACAAGGTCAAACTCGCAACCAAGCTTAAATACTATATGAAACAACCAATTTTCCCAAAAGTTTAAGGTCACATTAATATTTTTATATTATATATTTCTAACAATATTTAAGATTTTTATTATTGGTATGTCGTTGATTAGGGATTATATATATATATATATATATATATATATATATATATATATATATGCTTGGATTGACCATTAATTATTTATGACATTGAGCTAAACACAGATTTTGAATTGTAGGCCATTGTTCTACAGTTATTCCTTATTGAATGAGTATGTAAAATTCTGAACCTTTACTATATTATGCTTCTTTCTGCAAAATTTTATGGTCAAATGAAAAGCGTAGCTATACCAAATGAAAATTCTAAAGATATATGGACATATATTGGGTAATAACATAATTTGGTCGGAAGAACTCTTGGATTGGAGTCCATTTGAAGCTCTAAATTGATGATTGAACTTAAATCACAAGTTTTATTTATAAGAGGTATATAAGATAGTCAAACATGTCTATGTTATTTGATGGAAAACAAACTAGTCCAAGTGATCTAGATCCATATTAAGCAGGATGAAGGGTCTAGTCTAATAATAGCCCAAAAGGCCCAAAGACAAAAACTTAGTAAGTAAGGAAACCCATAGATTATGCGTACATGCAATCCCGCGAATGCACAACTGGATTGACAACAACTCAAGACTCATGAATCTCCTTAATAATCAATGGCTAAGGAACATACAAGAGATTCCATCTAAGCATACATATCATGGTTTGCCAAAGGCATCCCACGAACAAGATAGGCTAACAAAGCCATCACAATCCACCAATAAAAATATATGACGTCGTACTAAGGTGGCATAAGCAGATGGCATGCTGTTATTATGAAAGAGAGACTCAAAGCCCAATTATGATCATTTTCTTTTCTTTTAGTTAAGCTTATAACTCATATACTAACTTGAGTGTCAGTGTATATTGCAGGTACTCACTCCTATTTGTACTAGACAAATAAACTTCTCCAGCATCAAAGTCATTATCCTATGGATACCATCCCTCGTAGAAGAAGAACGGATCTCGTCGCAATTATCATTCAATCATCACTTGAACCAAGCTCAACTATGTATGATTAGGACCAATTCCTCTTGGACTGATGACCAAGTATGAGTATTTATTTGGGAAAGCTATTGTTTTAGATTTTGAATGTTTGAAAAGTTTGGGTTTAGTTTAGGTATCAACCATCCTCTTAGGATTTGAATTTTTGCTAAGATCTAATTTAGAACCCTAGTATTATACAAGAAATTTGTAGGAATTTGAAAAATCCCCAACTACTTAAATTTATTTTTGATTGACGATTCTAGTTAGCATATGGTCTGTTTCTTCGTCAATTTGAATGGTTTTCAAAAGTAAGTCGGTAAAGATAGTTTTGGGAAGAAACTTCATACATGAGGGTTAATATATGGTTTGTTAGTACTAGAAAGTTTGAGGTTTAGAAACCATTAGTAAGTACTAGGTCAAATGAATGGTTTAAGTTCAAATTGGAGTTATTATAATCTAAGTAGGAAGGTCAATGTCTTTATAGTGTACCTACTGCGTAATTTATCATATATTCAGTTTCAAAACTCATTCAGACTATTCTAATCGTAAATCATTGCCGGTTTGACCATTCAACCAGTTGAGTTCATAACGCTTTCATGCAAAACTTGTATGATTGTCTTAGCCACTTAAGGTCAGGCTAGATTATGGTCGAAAGATGTGCAACACAATGGTAGCATTGACTTTTGACTCATTCACATTTGCGTTGCATAATTAGTAATGTTTTATAGCAAAGTTTACTGTCTTTGCTAATGCATTAAGTAGATTAAATAAATTAAAAGCCCATGAAGGCATATTTTTTTTTTTTTTGGTGAATGCCATGAAGGCATACTTTATTATGGGGTGTAAATGTTATATTAAGTTATTTATGGGTTTTATAAGAGCTATATTGTAGGAAAAATGATTATATAATGTTATAAAGATTCGTTTAGCGTGCCATAGTTTTTTTTTTTTTTGCTTTAAAAACTGTGGACCCCACAGAATATTGTGTGTGTAGAAAAGTTTTTCGTGTCATGTTAAAGGACAAACTAAAACCCCTTTATTTGGGGCTTCGCCCCTTAATGTTATCAAAAAAAAAAAAAAAAAAAAAACCCTTTATTTAACCAAAAAATAGAAACGGAGTTTATGCTTGGGTTCTTCAATAATTAACAATTGCCTCCATTTAATTCACAAACTTTACTGATCAATTGGTGTGTTGATAGGTGGCAATTGCATTTTTTCCTTGGGTGTGATAATTTGGTTTGAAAAAATACAACCCAACATGAATTTAATACGAATACGAAATTTAAAAAAGATAAAACCTTCAACAAGATTAACATGAATAACTTATTAACTTCAAAATGTGTTTTGTATTGTACGGATTGACATAACCTATCAACTACAAAATATATTGCTTCTTATGCTTGTTGACACGACAAAAGAATATTAACAAGGTCAATTTTATATTTCCATGTTAACACACAACACGACACAAATTTTTTCATGTTAATTTTAACCAACACAAATACAACAAGCATTTAAAAATCAATCAACCCGAACACAAATTTTTTATATTATGTTCATAACTTCATATCGTGTTAGCGGATTGTGTTTAAAATTATCACCCCCTACTTTTCCTCAACTGAATATTTGGGTTCTGCAGAGCCACCGCATTGAAAAATATAACTGAAAATTAAGTATTCCAGAAAAACTGTCCCAACTTGTACTACACAAATCATAATAATAATAATAATAACAATAATGCATCTATTTCAAATTAACAAAAATCTTGTATTGCCGGACGAGTAAAATCAATAAAAATTTACAAACTTCAGAAGATATTGATAAATAAATTATAAAACTGAGTTTTTACAACAATGAAGGAGATACCAAACTTGGTCAAGGAGAAACTTCATACTGCATGGCTGTGTCTATATACTGAAGGTAGGATCCATTTCATACAGGTGAATAAGATGAACAACCCAAAAGCATATTCTCTAACTCAATAATCATTGGAAATGGATCCTCTAATGTGCCAAAAAAACATGATACGGTCATGTGGGAAGATCACAACCATACAAAGGTAAATCAACGGTTATAATTTCGTAACTACCTATTTTATCATTTTTTTCTCTCCTCCTTTTTTTACTATTGATCCACCTTTGTATGGTTATGATTCACATTACCTGTTCATGTGAATTTTCACATTAGAGGATCCAGATCCATAATCATTAGAGGTAAAAATCATGCTCAGAACATAAATGGGAGGATATTCCTTCATGAACTTCAAGGAATGCAGATCCAAGATAAAACTGGCAACGAAAAATGGAGCCCTTAGCTGAAATCCATATTATGGCAAGTGGGATTGCATGGATAAGGGCAGTCAATACGCTTTACCACTTCTCGGTCAAAGAACCAATCAGCAACAGATTCAGCAATTGTCTGCTCCAGAGGCAACAACAGTAAAGGATAGCTAAAAGAACAGTTAGGTATGAAAACTAGAATATAAACCAGACCGGGACTGGAATTTGCTGAAGCTATGTTGTTGTTTTTTTCTAAAAGTTCAAGTCACAACAAATACTTGACTGTAAGGATTTCATAAAAGTTACAGAGTTCATAAATGGAAACATAATCACCCTGAAGTGCTTCATTTCTCAATTACACATCCTTTCTAATGCACCAATATTATGTTTTCTCAACTATATGAATCTCAAGTGTCAAAATATATATTACAAAATCACTTGTGGATAATTGTAAGGAATAGTAAATAAGTCAAAATTCACTGCAATTAACAATCATTAGTAAAACGCCACAATAATTCAAACCAATCACAAAAGACTATGCATATAAACAATCTTGGGACTGCAATTTCATAGAACTTAATTATTTTTAGATGACTATTATGACTTATGAGGCAAACACAACTAAGAAATTGGGTGAATGCCATTACTTGAATAGTAGTTATATGATCTCTGCAGCATATATGAGAACTAAGAAGCCAAAACTATGGTTACCTTATCGTTTATTTTAGGAGAATTGGGTGAATGCCATGTCTCTCCCATCCAAGTCTGGCAATGGATAAAGCATGAATTTATAAACATTCCAATCTCCTTTCGTTGCTCAAATTCATTTACAGCCTTCAGCAAAGAACTACGGAAACCTGACCATGATAATTTAGCAAGTTATTCATGCATCACTAGTTCTCAGGTCAGATCATCATTATTATCCTACGCCACAGTTTAATCCAACATCTGTGGTACTCTGAATCTAAACCCATTGAAGGTTTACAAAAGTTAAAAAAAAAATAAAAAAAAAATAAAAAAAATAAAAAAAATTTAAAAAGAAAGTTTTTCTGTTTGAAGGTTGATATCAATATGATCAGGACTGCAACAACATATCAGAAACTATGTGGTAGCTATGGTGTTTACTTACGGTGAAGTATATCAATCAGGTTAGCATCACAATTGTGAATGTTCAACCTGCAGCTTTTCCAGTGACCGCGTGGATCTGATCCTTCAGGTACCAAAATATTGTGTATCTAAATATAGTTTAATTTGCATCAGTGTCATAGAAAATAACATTTTATGACAATGAATCATGCCTACTGAGTGAGCTTACCTGCCAGAAATCATAAGCTGGGTGAACAAGGAACACTGGAGTTTTTATGTTTTTAATAATTTCTGATGGAAAGAAACACTGCATTACAGATCAACAGTTGGTTGTTCTTAGCTGAAACATATGAACCAAATTTTACAGTTACAAATTATACCAATTGGTGTGGCGAGGAGTTTTGAGAAACTAAAAACCTGCCTTATATGGTTCCATTTTAGCAATGCACTCTTTTTGCAAGCTTTTTGCAACACCCTGACAACAATATATGTCAGAATTAGATAATTTAGTGGGAAAACCATATTTTTTCTGTTTTAGGTTTACATAACAGATAAATATAATTAGCTAACTCAATAGACAATGTTATATATAAGGCATAAGCAAGCACAGTATTACCTGAAGCTGGACAACATCATGATAGAAAGATCTCATTGTGCTATTTCCGAGAATATCCTTCCTGAAATTTATGAAATAAAGATTACACTAATTTATTATACTTGGTAACATATAGCAAATATGGTGAACATGCAACATACAGGTAGAAAGCAGAAGTTAATGCACCAGATGAACGGATTTTCAAATCCCAATAGCTGTTAATGAAACACAAATCTTCTAGTTACAAATATTTTATTTTTTTTTGTAAACTAGTTACAAATTTTTTTCTCAAGAAATACCATGCTAGGATCACCCATCATGTAATAAAATAAAACTACTTTTGGAAACATTCAGTTTAAATATTACTAGAAAATATCATGATAGGAAAAGGCAATTGTATGTTGAGAGAAACTTACTCATCTAGGAAGAAGCCTGCATCAGCAAGACACTTGACAGTTGCCTCCTTTGGAAGCACTTGTCGGAAGTCATCACAATGTACAAGAGTTGCCAACCCTCCAGCAGAGCATCCTGAAAGCAGAGCCTGCAAAAGTAGCCTTATATATCATCACATCTTAACAGGTTTTGGGTCAAGGCTAACGCTTCATAATTCATAAACAGTTGATTGTGTCAAAAAATATTCTGTAGATTTAATTACATTTGACCATTTAGAATTCACCTCATGTCAAACAGAAGATAAAATAACCAAAGTTATCAAATGCAGATTGCGGCATGTCACGGCCAACCCCGAAAAAAGTTATAGCGCTGTAGCGGATTGCGGTTGTGGAAATAACGGAATAGATATATAACATAAATAATGACAACAAGAAACAATTTTTAAAGGCAGAGATAGCAGAAGTGATAGAAAGAGACGCAGATAGACTAAAAAACCCTTAAAAATTTTCTGTTATACATTTAAATTTAGGACAAAACTGAAATTTTGCCTTATGACAGCAATATGGTCGCTATTTGGCGGCAAATGCGATTGTAATGGCCGCTACTGCGTTACGGTGTGGCGCGGTTTCTTGCGGCAAGGCACCACAACGCCCATATGGTGCAGCTCGCGGCGCTATTGCAGCGCAATTAACTACTATGATAGTAACTAATAAAATGCATTAATTTCATTCACCTGAAATTGCACTTGTTCAAATTCATAAACTAAACCTTTCATATTACCATATGTGGGACTGCATGTAAGGATAATTAGCTAGTCAAATTGTAAATTGATTTAAGAGAATAAAAATATGGAAAATATTTTTGCTTATTCTTCAAGTCGATATCACAAGGATAATGATGCAATTCGGCCGAAGATGTATAAGAGAGATAAGGCTAGGCAAATATGTAACCAAACCCAACAAGGCCCAAATGAAACAGAGGAGCATTCCTCAGACACTGCCACGTAACCAGTAGGAATTCCCAAAGTACCCCGTAACAGAATGGTGTGCGAAGTGGCATGAAGTTGGTTATATTCAGTTTGGGGGGGGGGGGGGGGGGGGGGGGGGGGGGGGAGATGACGGAGAGTGGAGTCCTTGGGAGAGCGTGAGACCTCTACAATTGTCTCACAATTATCTTTTCTTTTACTGCTTAGTCTTTTCCTTTCGGTTGAACTTGTGTAATTTCCCTTTCGTATGGATTATATTTCTGAGTTGTAATATCCATAATGAATATTAAATCAATGAAGTATTCCGATCTAATTTTCCCTGTCATTTGTTGTTAATTTTGGGATTCTCTGGTTGGATTGTAACAGATAACCACTCTCTTATCTTAAGCAATAATTAAAGTAAAGAAAAGTTCTTCCATTTTAAACTGATATAAAGATTAATAACAAAATATGACTTTCGCAATTTCAAGTGCATCATTACCTAAGGATAAAAAAGTGCAGAACAAATGAAATATACACCAAATTGGCCCATTCTTTTAATGTTCAAAATGCAAGTGATAAAATTTAAGTAGGGGGCTGACAGTCAAATATTATTGAATCTATTTTAATAAACATAATAATTATTATTATTTACTAGTAAAAATCTCAGAAAACATAAAAAGAAAAGACATGATGAATTGTGGTGAGTATAACCTGTTTTGCTTTAGACATGCCAATTGATAAGAGTTCATCCATAATGGTTTCCCATATGATCTGCCCTCTGAAGAACAATCCACTTCCTTTCTGCAGTGTATAATAATTAAGAAAAGAAAAACTCATCAAAATAAACCTAAAAGTGAAAAGGAAGAATTTATTATCTTAATATGCAGGACAAAGAGCAACTAACAACCAGTACCAAATAATCAACAAACTCCTATACTCAAAGTTGCAAAGGTAAAACCAAGCTTACCTCACTTTCTGGGTGACCAGCAAAAGATGCACCGTCACAATACCGTATCTTCACCTTGTTCCAGTTAAAGAAATCTGAATAAGTTTGACACATCCAGCTAAGTAACATCACTTATTCAACATACATATGTATACATATACTTTCATGCAGCACAAACCATGCCACTGCCAGATACGTAACTAAGGGTGAGCTCGAAACATATCTGGTCAGGTTTGAGTGAAAATCTTACCAGACCAATCGATATTACAAGAGTGGTAATCTAATATCACAATGTCATAACAAGAATACAGGTAAAAATATAATGACACGGTTTAGAACAGGGATTTAGCTCTGATCCTATGCCACTGTAAAAATTTTCACATCATTCCATTATAATGACATGGCATCACATTATTGGATGATATTATACAAATAAGATATTCAAAGATTTCTCTATCAGTACATGGATTAATTAATCGAATAATCTGATCGAGTCAGGCAAGACCAAAGGACTCGGCAAAGCTCTCACTACCAAATTTTTAACACAATTGCATATCCAAGACTCAAACTCGAGATCACTAGTTAAACATCGTGCTTGGTGGTTTAAAAATATTTTATATGGGTTCATCAAACTTAAACTCTTAAATAAAAATATTGCAAATTCCTACATTATAGACCAAGATATTGTTAACAAGGGTGGTAATATAAGTGTAACTACAACAATAATATAAGCATGTTGTAGATAACATACCGGGATTTTGAGAAGGGTCAGAGCTTAATATTCCTGAAAAAGGAACTGGTGTCTGCATATACTTTGATGACCCCAAAGCTGACATTTTTCGCTGAGAACACGAAGATATTGAATTGCACCACCCTCCTCCCTGGACCCACATTTTTAAATCATATCAATATTATTTAAACAAACCCAATTTCAACCCAAAATTAAAAAAAAAAAAAAAAAAATAGAATACCTCGACGTGAAGCAACCAATTGCGAGATCCGGATCCGAACCCCTTTTGAAAATGGTAGCCGGGGGAGCTCCCATCCAAGCAAACTGCACAGAAAAAATTGGAATGGCGTCACAAAGTGACAAACTTGCACGCGTTTTGAGCGATGGGTATTACGTACGCGCTCCTCTTTGGTTGGCGTTACGGAGAAGGGTTAAGGGAACGAGATGGGTATCGGAACGGGGTTGCAATTGGGAGATGAGAGCGAAAGAGAAGAGGATGATGAAGGCGAATGCGGCGATTGTGTAGTCCTTTGTGGTCCATTTTCTGAAGAAGGAGAGGAGAGTGCGAAGACGAGGATTCGTTACGGAGGAGGAAGACGATGGCATCGCGTGATGGGAAATGGTCCAAGTGAAACCGAGTTTGAGCAAGAGTCAACGCACAGGAACACAATATCTTTGTAAGAAAAATAATTATCTATGTTAGGTGAGAATGTGGGATAATTATCTAAGGGAGTGGATCCTCTCACCTAATTATCTCATGAGCTAATTAATTAACATGATCATGTCATATGGGTGAGTTAATTATCTCATGTATTAATTATTTCATGCATTCATATAAGGGAGGAGCGATAAAAATATAAGGATAAGAAGTTAGACGACCATGTTAAATTACACATGAGAGGATCCATTTCTATTATCTCATGTAACAGAGACAAAACAGTGGAGTTCACTATTTTTTATTTCTTATTTTTGAAAAAGTAGTGGACCTCACTATTTTGTCTCTGTTGCATGAGATATAAATTCCATTTTGTAATGCTCTAATAAATTATAAGGGATATGTTTTTCTCATGTTGCATGAGACAAATTATCTCATGCAACACACAAAAAATAAGTAGGATCCACTTTTTTCCTTTCTCTCTTCTTCTTCTTAGTGGATCTCATCCACTTTTTGTGTGTTGCATGTAGGGATGTGCATGGGTCGAACCGAACCGCTTTTTTTGAAAAACCGAACCGAATTGGTTTAAATGGTTCGGTTCGGAAGCGGTTCGGTTCGGAAGCAGTTCGGTTCAGTTCAAAACTGGTTCGTTTCAGAAGTGGTTCGGTTCAGTTCGGAACCGGTTCGGGTCGACCCTCTTTTGAAAAGAAAAAAATTAAAATTTTAAAAAATAAAGTTATAAAAATCAATTTGGTTCGGTTTGAAACGGTTCGGAAACGGTTTGGTTCGGTTCTTAAACTAGTTCTAAAAATCGGTTCGGTTCTTAAACTGGTTCTAAAAACCGATTCGGATCATGAACTGATTCTTTAAAAACCGGTTCGATTCATGAACTGGTTTTTAAAAATCGATTATTTTAAGGGGCGTTCGGTTCGGTTCGGTTCATGGTTCGGTTCTGTTTTTTGGTTATTTTGCACACCCCTAGTTGCATTAGACAATTTGTCTCATGCAACATAAGAAAAATATTTCCCAAATTATAAATACATAAAATCATTTATGCGTGTTTTTTTTTATCTATCACATATTATGGACTATCGATAATATATAGTATAATTTCTAAAAGTAACTCTATTGTAGGGAGATCCACTCCTTTTTTGGTGGGACCACTGCTTTTTTGTGAGAGTGGCATGGGGACTTTTTCTACATAAGCGGTAGAAAAGTAACCCCTTATAAATATGGAAAATGCATTTGTCATGTTACATGACAAATGAATAGTTGTTATGTTAAGAAAAAGATAAATTATATAATATCAAAAAAGTGAGAGGACGCATTATTCAATGAATTTATCTTGTCTTTTTCTTAACATAACAACTATTCATTTGTCATGTAACATGACAAATGCATTTCCTTATAAATATATAGGGAAAAATGTATTTCATATGATTTTGTATTCTTTTTAAGCTAAATTGATTATTGTTTGAAGGTCAAAAAGAGAAGTCTATTAGAGAGAGTTCAGAATAGACTCAATGGGTGGAAAAAGAATTATCTTTCATTTGCTGGTCGTGTCACACTTGCCAAGTCTGTCATTTTAGCAATTTTAATGTTCCACATGCAAAATGGCATTATTCCACTAGGATAGCTCACTTAGTAGCTTGGGAAAAGGTTTGCATGCCTGAGGATCTTGGGGGGCTAGGCATTCTGTCTTTATGTAAACAAAATGAGGCTTTCATGCACAAATTGGCATGGAATGTTTTGACCTCAACTGATGATCTTTGGTTCCAATTCCTCCGAGCAAAGTATGCGAAAGGTGTAGACCCGAGGATGGATATCATTGCCAAAGCCTATGATTTGAGCCTTTGGAAAAACCTCAGCCAAGTCTGACTTGAATTCTTGCAAAGTTTAAGGTGGGAGGTTGGAAATGGGCAAGTGGTTTGCTTCTGGACAGATTCTTGGATTGGGTCGCAAGGCATATTCCTTCAGTCTGTTATTCAGCCGTTGTCACAGGAGATGACAAATATGAAAGTGGCTGATTGTATTTCTAATGATGATACTTCTTGAAAAAAAAATTTGCAGGAATACCTTGATGGTAATATGATTAATAGGTTTACGGCTATCCTAACCCTTTCTATGGCTAACAAGAATGATCAATTAAATTAAAGGAATTAAAATGAATACAAATCCATAGTCAGCACTGCCTATAAGGCTATTATGTGATTCTCTAATCAAGACTCTTCCTTTTCCTGGTATGAAATTTGGAATTTGAATGGTCCAGAGAGGATCAAGACCTTCATTTGGTCTAGTGCTCATGGAAACTCCCTTACCAAGGATCATACGAGTAAATGAGGGAGTGACACTAATAGATGTCATGTGTGTTCTGATAAAGTGGAGTCCTTACTTCATGTGTTACGTGATTGCTTAGATGCAAGATCAATTTGGCAAACCGAGGAGATGCAACCCTTATGTTGGGCAAATGGCTTCTTACACAGGACGCTTACGGAACACCTAGAGGGGGGGTGAATAGGTGTTCTAAACTTTTTCAAAATCTTTTTGAATTCAGTAAACAATTACACAATTTTTCTTCAATCCCTAAATGCCCAAAATAGTTTTTTTTCGCAATGCTAAGAACAATGTAGTAATAGAAAGCGTACCTTAGCAATTATAGAGTATAAACGCAGCAATTATAATAGAACTAGTGTAACTGTCAGTCTCTAAACAAAATATTCAGAAATTAAATGAGAGACAAGAGACACACGATATATCCTGGTTCACACCCACTAAGCCTAAGTAGGGTGCTACGTCCAGACTGAAGTAGATGCAGATATTTTATTATTATTATTATTTTCCAAAAGTTAAACTCACGTAACATTTTTGAAACCTGTAACTTCTTCTCTCTCTTTTTATTGTTATATTTACGTAATCAAAACTTAAAACTCACGTGATACTATATGCTTTGTTTTAAAGTACTGAACCTGATTGTTTATCAAATTGTAAAATCTATTTTTCATTTTATTTTAAAAACTATTTTTAACAAAATATTAATCATTTGTATTTATTATAAAATTAGCATGATATGCAATGGAGCTTAGGAAGATATTATATGATATAATATTGTGTGTAACAAAATATCTAAAAATACCTAACCACTTGTATCTTCAAACTCCAACTTCAATTTGAGACTTTTTGTAAACCCTTTGTCATCATCAAAATATATATTCCATAATCCATTATGCATATGAGGTCTTCAATCTCCCCCTTTTTGATGATGACAATTTAAACTCAAATTGAAACAAGTAAGGGTTAGTAGCATAAGATATTTAAATCATGTAATCACATACTCCCCCTAAACATATGCATACTAAGAATTATTATGCTAATCAAAAGTAAGGCATACATATGTTCTCAAGACTTCTCTAAAAATCTCCCCCTCAAAATATGCATAAGCTCATAAGCTCAATTTGATGATATTCATATTTTCTCCCCCTTTGACATCATCAAAATCAATTATAGCATATAATAAGGATTAAAGATGGATAAGGTATATAGCAAACATATTAAATATCCAAAGATTAACCATTTCTTGTACCAAGTTTGATTCTTTGTAACTCTTTGGCTTAGTCTAAGAGGTTCTTCAATCTGCCAATTTCTTCAATGTGATCTTCATGTTTTCATTCATTTCCAATTTCTTTCAAATACCTACAACATCATCTTTCACACTTGCCTTTCTTGGCATATTAGCAAGATCAAGCATTTATCAAATAGTACAAGTATGAATAATAGGCATTATATGAAAGATAACTCATTCATGATTGCTAATAGGCATTATTTGTGAAAGATACATTGAAGTAGGCTTGCTGTCCTATTTTGATATAATTGAATATAAGAGTAAAATGATGGACTATTCAAGTACATAGGCATGTAGTGCATGAAGTAAGCTTTCTATCCACATATGGATCATTTATATTGAACATGTATAACATAAGATGAGTTAAAAATAGTTTATGCATGTCATATTAAACACCAAACAACAACTAGACATCATGTGCAAAAAGATTTATCAAATAAAATAGTCCATGGCACATGATACATACATGCTCACTAAGTTTTCTTAGGAACATATATCATGTTCTTAACCTTGGGGCTAAAGAACATGCTAGAGGTGTTAGGTTGAGGTCCATAAGATGTTGAAGCAATGTTGCTCACATTTATAGTCCTCTTAGGAACCCACTTAAGATTAGTTCCTTTTAGGCCATATTTCTTAATATTGCATTGATATACAAGATGACCACTCATGCAACAATATGTACATTTCTTAAATGGTAATTTAGACATGAATCTAGGAGGATATTGGTTTGTCTTTCTTGGTTGAGCAAAGGGAGGTTTTTGAAAACCAAGTCCATGTTTAGTAGTCTCAACCCTTTGTCTACCAAGGAGAACATTCAAGTTATCTCTCCCACTAGTCATTCTATCAACCATTACCTTCAAATATCCACTTCATTAGATAATTCAACACATTTAGTACATAAAATAGTGGAAGGGGGGTTCACATCATCACATGATCCAACAAGACAATTCATGAAAAGATTTTCATTTTTAAGATCTTCATTGTCTTTCATTAGATCATTTACAATGGTTGTCAAACTATCAACTTTGTCTTGCAAGCAATTTTTCTCATTTTTTATTTTCTTAACCTTAGAGGTTAATTTTTCATTTTCAACTTGCAAACATTTATAAGCATATAACAAATCATCATATGATGGACCAACCATAGAAGAAGTATCACAAGAGGAACTAGAATTACATATTGAATTAGAATCACATATCGAATCGGAATCCCACATAGAACTAGAAGAGTGGCTAGAATATACCTCAATTTGATCTTTTTCAATTTGTGTCATTAAGCAAAGGTTAGCTTGTTCACTTGATGAGGAGCTTGTAGAACTTGAAGTGTCATCCGAAAATGCCATGTAAGCTCTCTTCTTTTTGCTCTTACCTTTCTTG